AAAAAAAATGTATATACATATATTTTAGTGTTATTAAATGGGGACTTGCTAAGAATAAAGTGATTGATCCGGATGTCACAAAATGGACACAACGAGATTTTGAAGCAATGGAAAGAACGCTTCATAATTGTATACAATATATTAGATTTTTTCAAATTCCAGCACATGAATATTTTTATAAAGTTCGACCATATAAGAAAATATTACCACGAAAACTTAAAGAAGATCTTCAACTTTTTTATATTGTTCCATTAGGACAACCTAAATATACATCGGTATTACCACCTCGAATGGGTCTAAGGCCAGATTCAGTAATAATAACATCACAACACGCAGCAATTATTGCAAACTGGATTTATAATAAACCTAGAGATACTTACAAGCCTCATGAGATACCATATCATTTTAAATTGTTAATTCGTGGCAGTCGTGATGGTTTTACACAAGAGGAATTTCATAAACGTTGCGATCATAAAGGGTCAAATATTGTGGTTGTTAAGGTAGAAGGAGCACCTATAGTTGTTGGTGGATATAACCCCCTTGGATGGACATCGGCTAATGATTGGAGACAAACAAGCGAAAGTTTTATATTTTCACTAAACAAGCAACTAAAGACAACAATAATGGGCCGAGTGAGGAATCCTAATTGTGCTATTCGGGATACAGTTTCAAAGCAGTGGGTCGGATTTGGAGTAGGAGACCTTCATTTTCTTGATGGGTCATGTAGTCCGAATGATTACGATGCAAAAATTTTGGATTCATCAAGATACATTGTTGAGGATTATGAAGTCTTTCAGATTTTGAATAAAGTCAAACCAGGTAGTGGTATGAAAGATAGACCATCAAAGCCAACATCTATTTTCGGATTTATGTGATTAAGGCAATTTACATATATATTAGCATTAAATTCGAAAAAATAATATAATACATGTTAATTTTTTTTTTCTTTTTTCTTGAAAGTTTCATACGTCCATTGGTAAATATTGAATATTATCAAATGGATGAATAGTCATTTTAATGACAAAGAATTTTTTTTCAAAAGATGACGTTATTTTAATTTCTTTTGAAGTATAATAACAATTTTTTGAAGATTTACACGGCTGAAATTCAATAACAATTAGTCATAATCTTAAAGATAGACGCGATGTTTGTCATTGCTGGTGCTAAAAAATAATCCCTAGTTTTATCTTTTCTAAAATAGATTTAATTAAATAGACTTACGATTCATAATTTTTGATGCATCATATAGATATACTATATTCATGTAGGTCGTTTATTCTCGTAATAAATTCATCTTTGCACATGATACTGAGTGAGACGTGTATACAAAACATTAAGTAATATTGTAATATAACAATAGAGCAACAAATTACGTAAATATACACTATGGCATTTTTTTTTACTGAAGAGAATTTATCGTCATTACTGTTACTTACCAAATTATACGTTATACTTATTATAAAACCTATGCTTTTAATTGTTAGGATGACCAAAGCATTTAAAGTAGTTTCTGCTTGAAACATAAAGACAATCTTGGAATTCGTAGACTAGAGATTGGAATCGATGAATTTCGAGCATCGTTTGAATACAAACTTTGATTTTTGAGCATCGATAAAAAATTTTGACCGATGTTCGAGTGTTCAAGTTTTAAAATATTTACTAAAAAAAAATGTTGTATAAAAAAAAATTTTAGCGTAACATAAATTTGTCAATTGTACTATTTAATTTAATACGTACATGTTACATTTAAATTTTCTTCATATTTAGTGGTGTAGCTGTATTTAAAAAATTACGACCCAAAGTATGTCACGACATGTAGTAATACCCGTCCATGTGTGGTAGTGCCGTTGTTACGATCGGGAGAGCTTTATAAGGTCTTGAACCAATTTAGCTTCGACCGTGAACAAATAAATAGTGATTAATGTCAAATGTTTTAAATCGACAAACTAACACAAAATAATTAAAAGTTATAAGGTTTCTCTTTATTAACATAAATCAATACATCGGATAATACAATAATACTGAATCCTATCAACAACCGTTCTTCCCTTCATAAACTGAACTACACCCTTATATATCTTCAATTCGTATGTGGTTTTAATGGTTTTAATCCTTGTTTTGGATTTCAATCCCTCGCTGAGGGTTTCAACCCCTCGCTTGGGTTTCAACTATGCCACAAACCATACCAAAATTAGTAATTCATAACGATAAAATAACGATAACGAAAGTGATAAAATAATAAGACACTAACGCTAAAAAAAAATTTGAGATTACGTACGTAACACCTTTATATCGTATTTGTAATATACGGGTTTACCATAAAATTCCGGAAGACAGATTCCCGAAAGGACCTAATACCGACAAAGTTAGCCGGAATTAGTTATAATGTTGGCCAATTTGGTCGGTATTATGTTCTTTCGGGATTTTGTGTTAGAACCGTAATATAATTCGCATGCAATAAAAGAATAAGGCAATATTACCTCATATATGTGTTGAATTTCAAGCTAACGCTATTTTTTTTTATTTCATTTATAACGATGTTGATAATTTGTTTCTTTTAATCTTCTAATTTAACTAATTTTGAATCGTAATCATTCACTAATTTATCTGATGAATATTCCGGATTTCCAGAATCGTTTAATGCACTACAGCACTAGACAGTGAAAACTAGATGCTTTATAATGTTCGCTACCCCTACTAGTTTTATAAAAGTCTAGATTCAAAGTTGGGACCATAATTTTTGGTTATATTTTGAATGTGGTGGAATCGAACTATCGCTTTCATAATAAATTTATTATAGGTAATATATAAATAAAATAAACTACAGGATGTTTGTGTACATACAATTACGTACACGCATATATACACACATAGCTTAATTCATCGTTATCATTAAGAATTATGGTCTATATACCGCATATACTTAGAGGTGCGATCCGTAAACTATTAGTTAATATAAACTGTAGTTTTAAAATAAACTACAGTTTATTTATATGTACTGTAATTCACAGTTCACATCTCTACATATACTAAATACTACAAGAATTACGACCACAGCGTAGCATTTTCAAAAAGGTACAAATTCGGTCGTAATTAATTATCTCGATACAGTTACACCATTATTCATATTATGCTTTTGAATTTAATAACATTTCTCGCGTATGAAAATAAGCGTTTACTTGGAGCAAGAAATTTTCGCCATTTGTAAAAGCTAAGATATTTGTAGTTTCGTTATCATCTTGATTTTGAAAGTTTAATGAAAAAACCAGATTTAATAAATCCTTTATGGTAATTTTGTTTTTTTTTTCATTTTTATCAGTTATGATAAACCGATACATCAATATAATTAGATTCGTCCTCTTCACCATTATAAGAGAACCTTACGAAAATATTAACAGAAGCACAGTATCTTTTTAATTGAAAAAATTGTCGGTAATAATAAATCAAAACTTATCATTATCAAAATTTAATTTTGACAGTTGTTCGAAAATTAAAAACTCAATGAAGTTTATTTCGATGCTCGAAATTTTCCATTGATGCTCGAATAATTATTTACAGATTCCACTCGACTTTTCATAATTATACAATATATAAAATTGACATATTAGCATTTAACCATACAATTGATCATTCCATGAGCATTATATAATTTATTCAAAATAAAATGATCCAAATAAAAAATTTGATAGATTTAGAAATCTTATCAACCAGAATCAATTATTCAAAGTTGTTAGTAATGTAAATGAGAAAGCGCTTATATGTGAATATGCATATCTTAAATATTAATAATAAAAAGTAATCTTTTCTAAATACGTATGTATAGTACTTTGAAAAACTTCTATAACAGATAACGATTAAATATTACAACCCGACAATTTTTAGAACATTCTGTCGAAAGTTAAAATACAGATCATGTGTTACCTTTAGATCAGTTTTAGATCCACCATTTAGTGATACTACGATACACCAAATTTTCTCATAATCAAATACGGTAATATAACAAATTTAACTCGCATATTACGTTTTAACTTTATACTCCATTGCACAATCTCAAAAGTTATACGTACGTACGTTTGAATATTTATGTATGTTATGAAAGTGTAAAACTATTCATTATTAACATGTATATATGTATTATATAGCGTTTAATTATATTCCTTCCCTTGATTTGTTGTCCTTGGTATACTCTTCCTCCTCCTAAATATATAAAAACCTTTTTTAAAAATGTTAAAAGAATGGTTGAACAAAGCAATAAGAGAAGATCATATAAGATATATAAATTATGCCGAATTTGAAAACGTTCGTTCTGTTGCGCGAGGTGCATTCGGTGAGGTTTCAAAGGCACGTTGGAAAAGCGGTGATAAGGATGTTGCTCTAAAAGCCTTGCTTGATAACCACAACTCTGGAACTGAAGAATCATTTGAAAGTTTTATTCGTGAGGTATTTATAATTTATTCCATACAACTTTATATTAATTTTTCAATTACTTATTTTTAATTATGAAAAAAAATTAGCTTAAATTTCTTAGGCATGTAGATTTCTGCGATAACATTATTCGATTTTATGGTGTCAGTCTTGGTGTGTTCTTTTTTATATTTTTTATTACATGAAATATAACTTCATTAATTGTTATACTAAAATTTATTTTTATTATAAAAAGATCAGACGTCTGCTCGATATTTTATGGTTATACAGTATGCCAATGGTGGAAACCTTAGAGATTTCCTTCGTAATAATTTTGATAAACTTGACTGGGTAACTAAAATTTCAATGGGAAGGCATATTGTTATTGGTCTTAACGCCATTCATTCAAAGAAAATTTTACATAGAGATTTAGTAAGAAATTTTATTTTATTTTATTTTTTTATTAAAAAATTATATATGTGTGTGCTAATTTTTTATTTTTACTTACAGCATTCAAAAAACATAGTGATACACGATGGTAGAATTATGATCACTGATTTTGGTTTATCAAAGTCAAGTCTCGTTAGTTCTGATTCCGTTGTAACAGGGATGGCTGCATATGTGGAGCCAAAATGTTTCAAAGATCCAAAGTACTTACGAAACGAAGCTTCAGATATCTATAGCTTAGGTGTATTACTCTGGGAAATATCTAGTGGCAGGCCTCCTTTCAATGGTCTAGGCATATTAGATATAGCTGCTAAAGTGGTTAAACGTGAAAGGGAAGATCCATTTCCTGGTACACCAATTGAATATGTAGCTCTCTATAAACAAGCCTGGGACCATGAGCCAAATAATCGTCCACCTCTTGATAATATTCGTGATAGACTTAACGCCATGTTAATTGCACGGAATGTAGATCCTTTAGAACAATCTTGCCTGGATGCGCTTAAAGTTGTTAGCAAAAAAAATAATAATAGTTCAAATACTCCCAAAAACATTGGTACACCAATTGTACCACCGCTAGGCCGTATTAACACTAATATGGCTGCAATGTCCATAAATGATCAAAATCGCCCGGGGACAAATAATAACAACATTAATAGACCACCTGAACGACCGGTGGGTGCAACAAATTTAAATCAAATAAATAATTTTGAACAGGGTAACAATCAACCCAATCCTCAAGTACCGCGGACTGTTGTTGGTCAACATCCAATACCAATTAATAATCCTCAACATCCAGTACCAATTAATAATCCTCAACATCCAATACCAATTAATAATCCTCAACATCCAATGCCAATTAATAATCCTCAACATCCAATGCCAATTAATAATCCTCAACGTCCAATGCCAATTAATAATCATCAACATCAAGTACCAAACAATATTGTTCAAACGCGACCTAACAATCCAAATTTTACCGGTCAAATACCACATAATAATCAAATGCCACCCAATCCAAATTTTACCGGTCAAATACCACATAATAATCAAATGCCACCCAATAATCCAAATTTTACCGGTCAAATACCACATAATAATCAAATGCCACCCAATAATCCAAATTTTACCGGTCAAATACC